AATTCATTAAAATGGAGCTCATGTGTTCGTGAGCACATATACGTTAATATATGGAACCAAACTTTTGCCTGCATTTACATGACATATTTATTTCTTCTATTTTGACAAAATTTCTATATTATAAATTAATTTCAAATTCATTTATATCTTTTATAATGGCGTGAAGGGCGGCCAAATTTACCCCTTATATATAAGGGGAGGAAACAATCACTTGTCATTACTAAACTGACGTGAATTCAAATATGTGCACTCAATCCTATTCCCAGTATGAAACAGGACCAAACTTCTATTCCATCACTAACATCTTTCACCATTTTTGCAACTCAAAGAATCTGAGAGCCATTAAAGTATTTCATTCACATCTAATTAGAACAGGATTACTCTTTATCTCCCCTAACTTTCAGTTCAAACTCATATCTACTACATGCACAACTACTTCACTTCCCAATGGTAATAACCTTAAAACCTTAATCAACTTCTTCAAATTCCTCAAACCCAAAAACTCTTTGCTCTTAAATTCAATTCTTTCCCATTTTTCCAAAAATAGGTTTCATTTTCTTGCTCTTAAAACATTCTCTTTCATGCATTTTAGTGGTATTGACATTGATTCATACACCTTGTGTAGCTCCATTACAGCTTCATCTGCTATTAAAGATGTAAACTTTGGGCAAATGGTTCATACCCTTGTGTATAAATCAGGTTGGATTTCTAGTGTTTATGTGGGGTCTGCTTTGGTTGACATGTATGTTAAGTCGTTGTGTATCAAGAATGCAGCTATAATGTTCGATGAAATTCCTGTGAAGAACACAGTGTGTGTGAACGCGCTTCTTTCGGGCTATTCTGAGGCTAAGATGTGGATGGAAGGATTGGCATTAGTTAGGAACATGCCGTGCTTGAATCTATCTTGGGATAATTTCACTTTTTCAGCAGCTTTGCGTGCTTGCGTTGGGCTCTCTGCATTTGAATTGGGTAAGCAAGTTCATGGATGTGTTATTCGAAAAGTTCATGACTTGGAATCTGATGTTTTTCTTCAAAGTTTGTTGATTGAAATGTATGGCAAATGTGGGTCAGTGGAGAAGGCTGGGCATGTATTCGACATGGTCGGCTTTAGATGTGAAGAAAGAAAGAAGGATGTTGTTCTTTGGACATCAATGCTTGGTGTTTGCGGAAGAAATGGGAAATTTGAAGAAGTGATTAGTTTGTTCAATGACATGGTAATGGAAGGAATCAAACCAGATGGATAAGCCAAACGGGCTCTTAGTTCTATCTACTCTAGTTGATGATCAATTCTAGCTGAATTTGGTCCTTTCACTTCTTTAGCTTACGTGTGTTATAATCTCTTTTGGTTTTTGGTTGTATTTGTTACAATACTATTTTGCTTTTTGGTGATATTCGTATATATTTTGTTTTTGTTTCTGGTTATGTTTGTTATTTGGAAGAGTTTTTCGAAGTGAAAAGTTCTTAACCAAAAC